GCGCGCTCGTGCCTGTGTGTGTGTGTGTGTGTGTGTGCGTGCTCCTGTGTGTGTGTGTGTGTGGTCCTGTGTGTGTGTGCGTGCTCCTGTGTGTGTGCGTGTGTGTGCGTGCTCCTGTGTGTGTGTGTGTGTGTGCTCCTGTGTGTGTGTGTTTGCTCACGCCTGTCTGTGCACATGCCTGTCTGCATGTGTCCCTTCGTGTGTGTGTGTGTGTGTGTGTGTGTGTGTGTGTGCGCGCGCTTGTGCCTGTATGTGTGTGCGTGTGTGTCTGTGAGCGGGCACATGTGAGCGTAGCCAGCATTGTTCATCATTGCATCCTGCCCCCTAAGTCTATAAGCCCTGTACCAACTGGGGGGGTGTGCATGTGTGGGGAGGGCAGTCCTTTGTTGGGGGCTCTTGGGGGCCTTCGTATGTCCTCACATAAATACCTGTGATTTGTCATATATATTTATGTGTCCCTTTATTAGCTGGTTCCTATGGATCGGTGTCTGCGGCTCGTGAGGCATCAGTCTGCTTTAAATTGGTTTAACTGGAGCTGCTTTTTCCACAAAATGACTTCTTGGGGTCCCAGCAGATTTAACGGCGTATAACTGACAGCCCTGTAAATCGGCACGTGGAGAACCGCTTCCACGCTGGATTACATTAATAAAAGCCGTAATGTGATGAGAGGGGAGCCGGGTTTGTGACTGTGCGTGAGCGGCGTGGTGGGATGGTCATTAATCGTCCCGGAGTGTGGCTTTACGAGGTCACTGTGGTCCGGATCATGCTGCTGGGGGCGAGAGCTTACGGCGCTGGTTGCTGGGGTGGTGCCCCGGTCGATAGCAGAGCAGAGGAATGCCATATCTAGTCATTTATTCTGCTGGGTCTCCATTAAATCATCATTTGGCATGACCCCCCCCCCATCCCTCTGGTGTTCTTATGAAGTTTTAATAGGTCATTGATTTGTATTCCTGTTGGCAGTTGGTGGTGAAGGCCGCTGACCCCTTGACCTTGTTTGTGGGGCAGGTGGGGGGCCTTGGGGAATTGATAGCCTCTGCTTAGCTGATCAGATGGGAAAGGCTGGGGGGAAAAAGGCAGATGATCATCTCCTAGCCTAGAGGAGTGAGCAGGGAGCAGGCGTGTCTGCGTGTGGCTTCCCTGGGAGTCATTTTCTGTGATTGGCAAGGATCTGCTGGTTAGGGTTAGGGTTATTCAGAAAGGCACCCTTAGAGCAGTGGGATTGGGGGGGTACCTATGAGCCCCTGTGACCAGCTTCGGTGGCGTGGGTGGGTCTGTATCATCCCTGTGACGGGGGCCGTTAATCCTTTTCGAGCTTCTTTCTCTCTCTCTATCTGCAGAGGGCACAGTCTGTTGAGATGCTTAATTAATGGCAGACTTGTTGTTCTTGTCTGATTATGCTGCTACATAATTGCGGGTCAGGTACCAGGCACCTTCCTAACACTGATGAGCTCCCAGAGTGTCTCATTGCAGCTTATAACGTGGTTTGCAGGTGCTGTAGACGGCTGCGATAGACAGCTGGCATCATGTAGGTCTCCTGCAAACGCATGCACACATAGCACCGCGAGCGTGTCTGGATGGAGGCAGGTCTGGTCTCAGTGCTGCTGGGATCCCGTTAGCGAAGCGCTAAGTGGGAGTGGTGTACAGGCTGGTCTCGGTGCTGCTGGGATCCCGTTAGCGAGTCGCTAAGTGGGAGTGGTGTACAGGCTGGTCTCGGTGCTGCTGGGATCCCGTTAGCGAGCCGCTAAATGGGAGTGGTGTACAGGCTGGCGTCGGTGCTGCTGGGATCCCGTTAGCGAGCCGCTAAATGGGAGTGGTGTACAGGCTAGTCTCGGTGCTGCTGGGATCCCGTTAGCGAGCCGCTAAATGTGAGTGGTGTACAGGCTGGTCTCGGTGCTGCTGGGATCCCGTTAGCGAGTCGCTAAGTGGGAGTGGTTTACAGGCTGGCGTCGGTGCTGCTGGGATCCCGTTAGCGACCCGCTAAGTGGGAGTGGTGTACAGGCTGGCGTCGGTGCTGCTGGGATCCCGTTAGCGAGGCGCTAANGAGTGGTGTACAGGCTGGCGTCGGTGCTGCTGGGATCCCGTTAGCGAGGCGCTAAGTGGGAGTGGTGTACAGGCTGGTCTCGGTGCTGCTGGGATCCCATTAGCGAGCTGCTAAGTGGGAGTGGTTTACAGGCTGGCCTAATCTGCAGAGGTGACCTTGATTTAGCATCCGAGTCGTGCTTTATGCCTTTATGTGAGTGAGCGGGGCTGCGTCTCCATCTGTGTTAATCATGTTCATAGGGGCCACTTGCTTGCGGGAGCCACAGCTCATCTGTAATATGCCCCCACCCCACTCAGAGCCGCCTGAGGCTTGCAAACGTGCCCCCTGGTGTCTCTCTGTGGGACAGCCATCAGAGAGGGGAGGTAGTGTGTGTGTGTGTGTGTGTGTGTGTGTGTGTGTGTGTGTGTGTGTGAGATGGGTTATTCAGGCGTAGCCCCGTGTGTCATCGCGTGACCGAGACCTTCTGGGTTCACTACGCCCGGCCTGACCACCCCCCCCCCCCCCACGCTATGTCTGAGGTCCAGTAATGGTATCGTGTGTTTGTGTGTGCACTTTCAAAAATGCACCCTCAGTGTCAGCATTGGCAGTGCACAACCACAGTTTCACAATCACACACACATGCCCTCCCCCCTCCCAAACATGGCCCCTATCATTGCACGATTCATTGCTGCACGGGAAATCAGGAGCACCATGTTGCTCTCTTCATTATGAAGCTCCCGATAACCCAGAAAGGACGCTAATGTCCTGCTTAATCTGCCCAGGTGTAACAGGACTTCAGGGATGAACGGGGAGCTGCCGTTGGGAGCCGGTGTGTGCGCGCGTGCGTGCGTGATTATGTGTGTATTACATTGTGGGGACCAGATGTCCCTATAGTGTGATTAAAAACTTATTTAACCTTGTGGGGTAATTTTTTATTAAAATGAGACTGCAATCAAAAACTAAAGATGCCAAAAGTCTTGTATTTGTTTTTGTATGGTTAAGGTTGTCGTTGTTGTTTTTTCCCCATAGAAATGAATGGACAGTCCCCACAAATGAATGAATACAACCTGTGTGTGTGTGTGTGTGTAAGCTTGGGGTACGGAGGTCAAGGCTCTCGGAGGAGCGGGGGCTGGGACTCCATGGACGTGTGTGTGAGGACGGCCGGGTTCCTGTGTGTGTGCAAGAGGGTGGCCAGGTTCCTGGGCTGAGCAGGTGGAGATAACGGAGGGAGGAGCACTGTGGGGGCCGGGATGGGGGATGTCATGAACAAAGATCTTCAGCGACATGAAGAGTCATTAGGCATCGAGGGGCGAGAGTGAATGACAGCCGATTAAAGGGATTGACTGGTGAAGGCCGGCTGAATGGAGCAGGGGGCTCTGCGAGGGCGTGGGGCTGAGAGCGGGTGGGCTGGGGGCTGAGCGGTGACCCCCTCTCTCCAGGCCACGATGGGGGTGGCTGCCTGTCATCACCATGCTGCATCCTCTGACCTCGATCGTAACTTGTCACATGATCTTCATGCGCAGAGTGTCCCTGTGTTGGACAGATGGGTCAGGGTGGGGGGGGCGGGACAGGGGGAGGGCGGCATCGCTGGCAGGGCTCTTGGCAGAGAGCGGCCCTCAGTCCCAGAGGGACAAATATAATGAACAGAAGCCTCTCCTTACATTGAGTCTGCCGTCAGCGCATGAGGCGTGCAAATTAAGTGCTTCCCAGCGGGATGTGGGAAAGGCCCCCACAGCGACTGACCCGCATGATTAAGGTCAGGGGTCGCGGCCTCCGCTGTGCCTTGCCGATGGCTCTGTGTGCCCTGTCTTGGGTGGTAGGGTGCTTATCAGTCAGGAAGCTGAGGATCGGCGTGCGTGCATCCAGCTTTGGGCTTGTGGTTCTGACCCATTTGGTCCGGGCTTTAATGGTTGGTTTGGTACTGGAGGCGCTGGATTGACACGGCTGCATCTCCTCGATCACCGGGTGGGAACAGGGCTTGACATGACTCGGATGAGGGCAGGTGCTTTCAACTTGCTTTTTTGATTGGCAACGCCATCGCTACAGTGCCGGGAGTAATGACCTGTGCGAATCAGCACAAAGCGATTAAATTAGGAATGTCAGCACCACGGGGGGGGGGGGGGATAATTGATTTTACTTTGTCTCTCTGTAGCCTTATCCCTGGGAGGTGGGGGTGAATCTGGGGGGGTGGGGGCACTGTGAGGGATGGAGAGAAGCGGGGGATGGGGAGGGGGGCTCTTTGTGCCTCTTCGAAGGAAACCTTGATCAGCATCGGGGATGGAGCTAGGAGAGGGACATAGTGTTTTTTTTTTTTTTTTATGTTTGTTTGAGCTCGTCGCTCAAGGCCACATCCCTAGCTGCCGCCCCCCGTCTTTTATTTATTTCTCTGACTGAGATGCTCTTCTCTTTGTGTGGTCCTGCCCGGGAGCTCGGCTGCCCCCCTTTCCTGCTTTCCTGCCGCCGATCTCTGGGCCACACTTTGCTTGTCCACTCTTGCTCTTGCTGTCCCTCGCTCGTCGCGTCGCTCACCGCTGTCCCTCGCTCGTCGCGTCGCTCACCGCTGTCTCTCGCTCGTCGCGTCGCTCACCGCTGTCCCTCGTTCGTCGCGTCGCTCACCGCTGTCCCTCGTTCGTCGCGTCGCTCACCGCTGTCCCTCGTTCGTCGCGTCGCTCACCGCTGTCTCTCGCTCGTCGCGTCGCTCACCGCTGTCCCTCGTTCGTCACGTCGCTCACCGCTGTCTCTCGCTCGTCGCGTCGCTCACCGCTGTCTCTCGCTCGTCGCGTCGCTGACGGTTTATTCTGGCTGTGAGGGGGCACTGTGTAACTCCCACTTCAGAAAGGGGTGTCCGCACGGACAGCTGCCCCATGCAGCTTTTCGCTCCACACTCCCTGCCGTCTCTGTCACCCCGCCTTCCCTCCCAGCATGCACCTTCCTTTTCGCACCATCCTTTTAATGCTTTGATCAGCCATGCTTTCCTTCCATAGCAGGAAAGTGCTTCTAAAAAATTGTTTATTGTTTGTCATGTTGTGCGTGTGTGTCTGGGTGTGTCAGAATTGGTCACGTGTTGTCAGTGGTCACCGGTGCTAAGCTGTATAAAAATGAATTCTGTTGCTGCTGCTACTTAAACTCCTGAATTGGCCCTGAATACTATTCCATCAAGGAAATGATTTCCTCTTTTTGTCTCTCCCCCCCCAAGGAAATGATTTCCTCTTCTCTCTCCCCCCGCCCCCAGATTTTGTCCACTCCCCATGTTCTGCCTGGCCTGGCGCATAGCCCTATGATGAAAAAAAAGACCCCCCCCATCCATGGCAGTTTTTGAGCTGTGGTGGGGGCTGAACACTGAGGCGTACAAAGGTTCTGGTACAACCTTGAGGTGGAGATTCATGATGATAAAAATAATTACGCTCCCACCCCCTCCCCGACCTAGATTCCGTAATGGAGAGCGATGGCCCTTGGTCCCAGTTTCTCTGCTGTGTGGAGTCCCCCCCCCCCCTTCCATGAGAGAACAGCACTGTGTTTTGCCTAGTGGACCGGCCGGTGGTACCCCTATGATAGTCTGCGTGAGGTCTGCTCACCCTGGCCTTTACCCATGATGCACGGCTCGGCCTTGCTTCTGTTCCTTTTCCCTTCTATACTTGAGTGTGATTTGCGGTCCATGGTCTTCCAGATCTCCTCCCTAGTCACTCTGCAGCTGCTCACCCAGGTAGGACACGATGACCAGCTGGACAACCCCAAATACAAGTGCACCGTCTCCCTGGACTTCATCCGAGCCATCGCCAGGTAATATGCCCACCCCCACAAGCACACGCACACGCGGCGAGGTGCTCCACGGTGACATGTGGCCTGAGTTAGTCTCCATGTGACGATGTGACTGCTCTCTGTGGTGTCATGTCCGCCCACCAGGTTTCTCTGATGGCTGTGTGCATCCTTCCTGTGAGAGTGGCACGTGTGGGTGGAGGAGGGATTTGTATACATTATATTGTCCCCACAATGTGATAAAAACCTGTTGTTCTGACGTTGTGGGGACTATTTTTTCAGTCCCCACAAAGAGAAGCTCAGTTTTATTAAAATCTGTGACTGCAATCAAAACTAAAAATGCCAAAAATAGTCTGTTTTGCTTGGTTACTTATGGTTAAGGTTACGGCTGAGTAAGATTGCCATGGCTGGGATTAGGGTTTTGCCAGTAGAAATGAAGTCCCCACAAAGACGTGAATACAAATGTGTGTGTGCACAAGTCTGTGTGTGTGCATGTGTGCTTGCTGGGGGAGGGGCTTCTCAGCTCTGTGTGTCCCCGCTGGCCCTGGCCTGCCGTGTGAGCAGGTGTGTGCAGCGGGGGGACCGTGTGGAACAGACGGCCGGCGCTGCGCTGGGATCCTGCGCTGCCAGCATCTCTGAGAGCGACAGTGAAGGAGCACAAATACACACACACACACAGAAACACACACATACACAGAAACACACACAGAAACACACACACACAGAGAAACACACAGAGAAACACACACACACAGAGAAACACACACAGAAACACACACACACAGAGAAACACACACATATACAGATACACACACAGAAACACACACACACACAGAAACACACACATACACAGAAACACACACAGAAACACACACACACAGAGAAACACACACAGAAACACACACACACAGAGAAACACACATACACAGAAACACACACATAGACAGAAACACACACACACAGAGAAACACACACATACACAGATACACACACATACACAGATACACACACACATACACAGAAACACACACACACACACACAAACACACACAAACACAGAAACACACACAGAAACACACACACATACACAAAAACACACACACACACAGAAACACACACACACAGAAACACAGACAGAAAAATGAGTTTCCTCTTGTGGGAAATGAAAAAAATGGTCCCCACAATGTCAAAATATCAAGCTTTGATCACATTGTAGAGAACATTTGGTCCTCATAATACAAACTTCAGTTTTATAAAAATCTGTGACTGCAAAAAACTAAAAATGCCAAAAGTCTTGTATTTTGTTTGGTTACTTAAGGTTAAGGTTAGGGCTGGGTAGCGGTTAAGGTTGTCATTTCTGGGATTAGGGTTATGCCCATAGGAATGAATGGACGGTCCCCACAAAGATATGATTACAGGTGTGTGTGTGCACGCAAAATGCAATCACAGCCCCCAGTTCTACTGCCAGGCAGACCCATCCTGTCTGCCCCTGTGAAACATGCTGGCTAATGAAGTGACTGCATGCAGCGTCCAGCTCGACGTGCCGGACCCCATCCTCCACTGGGCCGCCCCCTCTCAGGACTGCCCGGTTTAACAGCCACAGCAACATTAAGACATCAAGGCCTCATGTCCCCTGTTCTGGTTACGGCTCCCATGAATTTTACTGCCACATTTAATTAAAGAAGTTTAATTGAGCAAATAACAAGCTGAGAAATTCACCTGCGGGGCGCAGGTTGGGGGGAGGCTTCAGAACATCAGTAGCCAGCTCTGGGAGATCCAGCCAGCCCAGCCAGGTACAGCTCCTTCCCATCACAGAATGTGGGGCACTGACCCTGCCCCTTGTCATGTGACTCATCGTTTCCCCGCCCCTTGTCATGTGACTCATCGTTTCCCCGCCCCTTGTCATGTGACATGGGTACGGCGCCGCCCACAATGTTTGTGAGCCGAATGGGCGACATGGAGAGGGTGGAGGAGGGAGATGGACTGAGGCGCAGGGGGACTGAAGCAAGTAAGAATTGAGGGAGAAGGGCCTCAGATGGCAGGTCCTACGTTCTACAGTATAGGGCTTTAAAACGACGGTTCTGAAGATTCACCCTCCATCTGTACAGAGGGATTTCCTCAGAAGCTTTTTTTAAAGTTATATTTCAGCTTCCTGTGTCCTGTCTCCTAGTTGTGTAACGCTTGTGTAACGTTTGTGTATATGTTTAGTTGACGGATGATGTCTCCCTTCATTCTTTTGGCTCTTTGGGGGGAAAAAATCCATAGTTTATGCATCTAAAGATAGCATTGTGGTGGTTAGTGGGCGGTGCGCGGTAATCAATGGGCTCCTATCGCAGGCCCTACCACAGTCTCTCTCCCCTTTCCGGCAGGACGGTGGGCTTCGACATCTTGCGCTACCTGTATGACTTCCTGTGATCCGACCCCCAGGAGAATCCTGCTCAAAGCCGGCCACTTGCTCCTATGGAAACGGCCCGGAGCTTCCCCCAGAGTGATTGCAGGGGGGGGTGTAGCAGGGGGCGATTTTCCCCAGCCCCCCCCATCTCGCTGGACTGACGTCCCTGACTCTGACCATTTTTTTTTCTGCCTGTGCCTTGGCAGGGAAGCACTTCTTGCACATGTGGCTGTGTGTTTGTCTCTAACCTGCTTCTTACATGTAAATAAATGTTTTTGTCGAACCTTGTCAATTTATTTTTCCTCAAGGCCAAATTTCATCCACACAGACTTATGGTCCTCTGCAGGGGGATGGTTCAGTTGTAGTTTGGAGTCTGCCAGGTGATGAGCTTTGCTCTTGGGGGGCTGTCTCAGCATGGTGCAACCTTGTAGCAGTCAAATCTGCAGGAGGTACTTCTCATGTCTGGTAAACAGCCAACCTGTAGGTGGTGCCAAACAGCCAGACCCCCACCTGCCGATCCCCAGAGGGCATTGCAGGTCCTCTGTTTCTGCACCCCCCCCCCCTTCTCCCCTGGGGGCTTGGGCTAAGATGGCCTGGAAGTGGATGAGTGTTTAAGATGTTCTCCAGCCTTGTGAGACGGGCAGTTAATTTGGGTGGGGTGGAAGAAGATGGGGGGGGGGGGGATCAATATGGGATGGCGTTCAGCTGCTTGATCATGGTGAAATTCACACACGGAGCATGACAGAAATAAATAGTCTGTCAAGTGGTTCACGAGGAGGAAATATGATAAGATGCCGTTACGTTGGTTCATAAATCTCCCTGACAGGCAGCCAGGCGCTGAGAGGTGCCAGGAATTGAGATGGAAATAATACTTAAATTTAAATTAAATTTCACAAGGGATCTGGGACGGTCTGTTTAAGTCCCACGCCAGAGCCTTGTCGAAAAAGAGGCTGATTAGTTATCCCGCCGGAGTCATGATCACTATGTGGAGAAGTCGTCCCTGTCGGACAGACCCTGTCGCTGGCTCAAGCCAATGCCCAAAGTGGAAAAGCTCTAGTTAATGCGTCTCTGTGCTGCTACAAGCCGCAGGAGCGGCATGTGAGAGGCCACTTTAAACTAATTCCCTGCTCCCTTAAAACCATCAAATTAATGCGTCCCTTTCAGAAAGGGATCAAACCCTGAACGGCGCTTACATCCAACATGCCATTAACATCCTTACAAATGGGGCGGCGTCACCGGCTCGCCCTGCGTCACAGATCACGCTGACCCTGCTTTGTTTATTCTTTTCCCTTTATGCAGTTTCCTTTGGTGGGACTTCCATACTTGAAGAAAACATGATGTTAAACACCAGGAAAATGTGTTTACTTGTTACTGTATCAACCATGCAAGGCCGTTTTGGAAAGGAGCCTTTGAATTAAAGGGTGGGATCGAAGTGGAAATACCCTGACAATGAAAGATCCACGAGAAATGCCTGTTTATAAAATGCTCAGTTAGATTTTAGATAGTTTTGGCTCAGCATTAGGTGCCTGAGGTGCTTCACTGGGGCACAGATTTTCCCAAATCATAGAAGGTTTCTGGAGCAGAACTGCTGTGAATGGCCTCTGATTCTCCGGTGCACCTTGCGGCCAGGTTTAGGGTCGCTGTCTGTTTTCTGGAGGCTGAGTGTGAGGCTCAGAGGAGTTGCCCTGCGGGGGGAGGCACTTGGGCGCAGAGAAATGGGATCAGGAGAAGTTCGGGAGGGACAGTGAGAGACTTAGAGTGGGGGAAGAGAATTTGGAGAGATGTCGTCTCACACCAGGCAGGGGGGGAGGGGGAAAAGAAAACTTATTATCACCTCCGAGAACAGCATGGTGGGGTCGTCTGGAACAGAGGGGAAGGGTGGAGAGAAGAGGAAGTGTGTCTCTGATTGAAAGAGAAGTTGGAATATGGAGCGCAGGGGGGGGAGTTGCAGAACACGCTCAGCTACGTATATGGGGGTGCGGGGGGGAGTGCAGGAAGAAGAGCGAGGAGGTGTGACTCGGGGAGACAAAAGCAGGGGAAAAGGCGCGGTGCATGGAAAAAGCAGCGGCGGGAAGCGGGAGCGGCAGGAGCGGCGGCTGGAGAGCGCAGTGGATCCGGCGGGGGAGGCAGGCAGCCGGGCCGGAGCGGGAGGGAGACTCCGCGGAGTGACAGACTTCCAGAGGAGAGGGAGGAGAGCGCGTGCGAGAGAGAGAGAGAGGGAGTGTGATGGGAGGGGGCTGTCTCTGAGCCCAGTGTGTGGGGGGGGGCGGGGAAAAGGGAGTGGGGGAGGTATTTAAAAGCCGAGCAGGACGGCTCAGGCGAGCGCTCCAACTCCCAGTCAGTGTTGGGAGGGAAAAAGGCCAAAGCAGACTGGCTCACTCTTACGCACAGGGTAGTCTTCCTCAGCGCCTTCGTTCTGCTCCAAACTCCACCTCAAGAACCTCACCGTCTCCCGGGACCTGTGAACTCCACCCGTGCACCTCTTCCTCTCCCTCCCTCTCTCTAGCTCACTAGCTCCCTCCTTCGTCTCTGCCCACGGCCGGGATGCGGCAGGCCTCTCTCGGGGGCGCCGCCCTGCTGGCGCTGGCCATAGCAGCAGCGGTGCTTGGTGTCACGGCTGCCGTGGACGTCGCCAACCCTGCCGCAGGGTTCTACCCGCGATTCAACCCGTTCTTCTTCCTGTGCACCCATCACACGGAGCTGGGGGGTGCCAGTGGGCTGGATGGGGGCCCCGAGGTGCAACTCACGCTGCAGATCGTGGGGAACCCTGGTGCTTACAGCCCTGGACAGGAATATCAAGGTGAGTGGAGACCATGATGCTGCTGGGCGCGACGGGTGGTGGACCTGCTTTGTCTGCAAGGCAGACAGCCGGTCGTATGTTTGCCTCAAGAGGGATGTGTATTATTTCCCAGAGTGTCCGCGGGTTTTCGGAGCGAGGACGTTTTCACGGGGGTGTACTCTAAGTCCGTGCCTTGGAGACATTCGGTGCCTCGAAACCTGCTGAAGGACAGGCCGGGTTAGCAGGTAGCCTGTAGGCTGATCTGCCCTGCGAACCGCAGAACCGGGTCGGCTGAACGTGGACCGTAGCTATGGGTCCATATTGCAGGTGTTGTTTCGGGGGGAGCTGAGAAGGGCACTGTTCTCTGGCCACCGATGATCCTCTGTAATCAGTGCCGAAACGATCCAGTGTTTACATTCCTCCTCAATAAACTGATTCTGTTGCACTAGTATGACTGCGAGGGCTCCAGTGTGAGCCGTGCGTCGTCGTGGATGAGGACAGCTGTGATGAAGAGGGACTCTTTATGTAACGGGAGTGGGTATTGGGCGTGTGGGAGGCATATCCCGAGGACAGAGGGAGAGATCGCACATGGAACTGAGAGAGAGAGACGCGTGGAGCCCAGAGAGGCGTAAATAACCACTAACACTGCCAAAAGGAGACGCAGCAATGGAGGATGGTCCACCCACACACGTGTGTAGGTACCTGATGAGCCCGACCGCAGGATGTTGGGCACCCAACTCCAGTCAGCTGTAGGAGGCAGAGGCGTAGAAAGAGAGCCCCCTCCTGATTTCTGTTAGAGGCGTGAGCACTGCGCTGACACCTGTAACCCATGCCTCGGCAAATAAGATGGGGAGCGGCGAGTGCAGGAGAGGCGGGCAGGCAGGCGAGTGCAGGAGAGGCAGGCAGGCAGGTGAACGAGCCTTGGAGAGGCAGGCAGGCAGGTGAACGAGGGCAGAAAAGCAGGGGAGTGAAGGGGAGGCAAGGCAGGCAGGCAGGTGAAGGAGCGTGAGAGAGGCAGGCAGGCGAGTGCAGGAGAGGCAGGCAGGCAGGCGAGTGAACGAGCGTGGGAGAGGCAGGCAGGCAGGCGAGTGCAGGAGAGGCAGGCAGGCAGGTGAACGAGCGCGGGAGAAGCAGGCGAGTGCAGGAGAGGCAGGCGAGTGCAGGAGAGGAAGGCAGGCAGGTGAATGAGCGTGAGAGAGGCAGGCGAGTGCAGGAGAGGCAGGCGAGTACAGGGGGGGCAGGCAGGCAGGCGAGTGCAGGAGAGGCGGGCAGGCAGGTGAACGAGTGCAGGAGAGGCAGGCAGGCGAGCGCCAGCACATCAGCGTTCCTGTGGAAATTACTGCTGCTGTTGCATGAGCAGCTTTTAAGCAGCATTAGGGTTTGGCAGGAGGGCAGCTAGGGGAGGTCAGACATGCGAGCATGAGGGCCCTGTGAGGGAGGGGGGCTCACCTTTATAAAGTGGGGTGTGTGTAATGGGCTCACGGTACATGCCTCATTTTGAGGTGTTTTAGAGGGGCATGGTAGAGTGCGGGACAGCGGTGAGGTGAAGGGGGGAGATGGGCAGGGATGCTGAGGGGGGGGAGGTGCTATACCAGCCAGACTCTCTGCTGTACAGGTGCGGAGATGCTGCTGGATGTGTGGGAGGTGAGGTGAGCTGTCGAGGAGCTCAGGCAGTAGCGGTGTGTATGTGTGCAGGACAGCATACATGTGCGAGGCTGTGAGGGGCCCTTGCTTCGGCCCCGGGTCCGCTGGTGGGGAGGGCCCCGCGCTGAGCTCCTCTGCACTCCTCTCTGCTCTATTCATCCTCCTCTCCTTTGTCTGCTCTGAGTTCCTTTCACATGTCGCGAGGAGAGCCCCGCCGTTCCTGCTTCTTGACCGCTCACAGACATTTAGTCGTCTAAGGATCTCCTCTTTGTTTTTAAGGACCTGAAGGCGCCCTCCCCCCCCCCCCCCCCTTGAACGCTCCCCCTCCATAGCAGCGATTCTATCGTGTCCCCAGTGTTAACCTGCTGAAATTGCACACGATTATAATCAAGCCAGAAGGTGATAAATACCCCCGCCCCCTCTGACTGAGGACAGCGCCCCGTGTGGGCTGTGGTATGGGCAGCGTCCCTCTGACCCACTCCTTTCCACAGCGAGGCTGAGACCTGGAGCGAGGCATGCTGGGAGGTTCCTGACGCTTTGGCAGCAAGCCTTCCCGTCAAGTCCGTGAGAAAAGCAGACCTAGTTGGTTATCTGGAAAAGAGGCAGATTGGGTTCAGAACCGCAGCCTCTGCCTGCAGGGTGCACTCTTACTGCCTGGTGGGGCCTGGAGAATGTCCTCGTCATTTCATCTGTTTCTGTATCATTACTATCATTATTATTATCAGTCCCAGGCGGACCTGTTCTGAGACAGAAGCCGACAAGGGATGTGGATCAGCATCCAGCCCAGAGAAACACACGGTGATTCTGAGAGAAGCTCTCGGATTTGCCAAGAAGAGGATCTCCCTCCGCCTGAGCAGAAAGACGAGCATGAGGAAAAGACGGGGGCAGGCGGAAAAAAGACATCATTGTCCAAACGAAAGGATACTCCGGGGAGGCGCGATGGGAATGGCCTGGAGGGGGCGGGAATCACCCTGTGGCAACTGGCAAATTAGTCTGGAGAAGATGGGAAGAAAACTGGGAGGTGGGGGGCAGGGGGTGGAATGGAATGAGGGATGGGATGGGAGGATCCCCATCGATGTGGGATGGGGGAATTGCCCCCGAACTGGCACGCCCCCCCCCCCACATGTTAGCAGCCCCAGCTGAGGGATCATATGTGTCGCTGTTGATCTTTCATCTTCTTCACACGTGAAGCCGCACACATTTACGAAATTAGCACCCCTGGGTAAAAGCACCAGTCGTGCACAGCCCCGTATGAGTCTGTCTAGTGGCGTGACCCTCGCTTGTTTCGGATTGGGCCCCTCGGCAGGTCATGGCCCCTGATTGGCCGCTTGCTAGCACCTCTCTGTCGGGAACGGCAGCCCCTTTACCGGCAAGACACCCTGAGGTTGGGTGGGGGCAGGGGACGGGGGGGCAGGTGCCCAAGGCGAACGCGGCTCGGCAGAATGGCAGCCACACCGCAGCGGAAGGCTCTCCATTGTTCTGGCAAATTCGGGGGGGGGGGGGTATACTGGCTCAGGTTCGGGAGCCTGGGCCTGACATGCGCGGACCTGAGTTTGGGTTCGGCCTCTTCGGTGAGGGGGGAGCACATGCCGGAGCAACCATCAGTCATCCAGGTCTGAATGGTAGTCGCCCCCACCCTGAAACACAGACCACACCGCACCAAGCCTGCTCTGCATGCCAGTGCTCCACAGCGTCCCCTGCCCCCCCCCCCAACGCTCCCCCAACGCCTACCTCCAGTCCCATCTCTTGCAGCCTGATCGGTCCCAGGTGGAGGAATGGGCGTGTCTCCTGTGCTCACGACTGTTCCCGGCGCATTCTGGAACAGTAATGCACAGGCTTGGAGCCGACAGAGATGAGTTAGAGTTTGTCCCCGTGTTCTCCGCTCCCTTCAGCTGGGGAGGGTCTGGCCGTAAGTGTGCCGTGTGTGCGTGTGTATGTCTGACTCTGAATGAGCTCTGCACAGGGCTCGCCCCGATGCCAGCTCTAAGTGGACACATTCTTATGTAAATTGTGACTATTTGTGCAGTTTTGTTCCAATGCATTAATTCAATACACAAAAAAAGCGAAAAAAATGAAGCGTAGTTCAGACAAAGGCAGTAAGGTGATTAACTGTGTGATTCCCGCATTTCCCTCTGGTGACTCACAGCTGTATGTGTGGATAGTGTGGGACACTGGGGTGTTGGATTGTGCCTTTTGTGTTTCTTTTTTTAAATAAACGATGTTCCCGTCGCGTGTCTTAATTCCGGTCCCCTGGGGAAGGTATGTACGCGCGCCGCCCCCAAAACGCACCATTAGTCACAGTTTGAAACTGTTCAGCTCAGCCCGCCCCCCATGGTATATCACGCATGTCCTCGCATAACGAGGCCCCAGCCTGTCACATACAGTGGGATCTAAGTACGCAGGGTGTCTGATCCTGCCCCCCCGAGCCACGTACACCCAGGCTGATCCCTAACACTGATCTTAGGAGCTCTGCATTCTGCCTGCTAATGGTCCCATCGGCACACCATCACAGCGTGCTGTGCTCCCATCTAAAACCTGTAGGGGGCATCTTTACAATCAAAAGGACGTGCAGCCTTCTTTAACACCCCTCCATTTTTTCAGGAATGGGGGGCCTGCATGATTATGTTCTGCTGTTTCTGGCTTTCATGCTGTTTATGGGAGCTGGTGAGGCCACAGATTTCCAGTCATTTCTAAAATATTTCCTTTGAAAAAAAGTGGGGGGGGGGTTGATTTGGGTTTTGGGGCCACGCATGTGTAAGCGCTGGCCATGCAGCGCAGGCAGCGAGGGTCAGCG